GCACTCCAACACCTAAGGAGCTTTGTTCGTATCTGCCTCTGTGGCACATCTCTGGCTTATTTCTCTACGTCCATCTGTGAGAAGGAGAAAGATGAACTTCATAGGGAAGACAGAAAATCCACGTCCTGTTTCTGTCATGTAGCCTAAGTATGGAAGGAGGACTAGCTCTTAATCAACCTTTCCATGTTGAGGAGATTCTGAGAGGTGCAGTGCAGTACAGGTGTTGGAGCAGTGGGAGTGCATTTGGACAGAGGGGGCAATGATGCTGACTGGTGGCATATGCTTGTTCTGGTAAGAGGGCTATCGTGTCTCAGAGAACATGCTGTCCATGTGGGAATCTTTGAACATTGAGGACATTGGGAAAGCAAAGAACAGTGCTAACATTGCATGTAAAAGCTTGAGAATTGAAATTAATAGGAAGGGAGTATTTTGGGGAAGTATAAAAAACAGAAGCCTAGTCAGGGTAAGAGGAAGGGTGTAAAGCAACAGGAAGGAAAGAGAAACGTATCTGTATCTGGAGATTATGTTGCTCTCTAAGGAGGTTTCAGTTAAGGATGGGGTGTGTTCAGGACACTAGAAGAGCAGAAGAAATAGGGAGAGAACGAATTCTTATATAATTCTTATAAACAATGTGGGAGCAAAGCAATAGGAGGGAATGGAACATGTGAACATTTTCAAATGCTCATGTCTGTGGTGGCTGATGTCTGTAAGTGTTTCAGGAGATGGTGCTTTTATAGTAAATCTTCCTATCGCTTAAAGCCAGAACTTCAGAACATTTTACATTTGATCACTATGCAAACAGATTATAATCCTCATAAGATAGCCTCTGTTTTTTCTATTTCTCTCTCTTTTTTTGTAGCCTTGTTAGAAGTGGTTATAGCTTCGGTTTTATAAGTGTCGCTAATGGAACATAAACTGTGGAGAACTGTGCAATATTTAAAGCAAATATTGACATTTAGTGGTGTATTATGCACCACAGACTGTACTTATGAGCACGTATAGGATGTACTGGGCACAACTGGTCATGTCTGTTCTCAGCCATCTGAAACATAGACTGCAATGAGTATCACAAATTTAAAAGTCTAGAGAATAGTTGAATATAAAAGCTGGAAGTATTGTGAATGAAAATGAAAATAAGTGTTCTGATCTACAATCTAGAAAGTATGACATTCAAACAAATATTTTAAAAAATTAATCTCATTCTTCAATCCTTTATACAACAAAATTATTGTGAAATTTAGAGGAGGAAAAGGAGTTCTTTATGGCAGGAAAATTTTGGTTTACGTAATGTTTTTCTTTGCCCATTTTGAAGAACCAAATAGATTTCAAGGGTAGAATTTTGTCTGGTTGAATTATGTAGGTAAGCCTTCATGTTTTATGTACCTTAACTAAATTCAAGAAGATGTAAAAGTAAACAGTATTCTTCTTTTGGGAGGCATCAGGTGTAAGAGTTTAGCTTATAGCTTGTTTTACTAGAAGAAATGAATATTTTTCTGTCTAATTGACAGACCTAAGCAGTCAGGAAAAGGTAGTCCAAGGGATAGGTAGTCTGCAGAGATTTGCAGGAAATTTCAGAGTTAAGATGTCAAAACCCCAGGTGTGTTTTATCAAGAAAGCTGTAGCAGCACCTTCCATAGTATTGGAGGAATGGAGAGGTGGAATTGAAACGTTGCTGTTGCGTCTTCACTTACCCGTTAATTAAAAAGTTTTCCCTTGGAGTAAGTGGAAACCATGTGCTGGAACCATTTCCCACCTGGAATAATTGCTCAAAGTAACTCACAAGATCAATTTTGTCTTTCCTTGCATCCTAGATAGTGGGTTCAGCTAGCACATCCAGTGATGTTTCTGCCTTCAATGGATTGTACCTGTGTTATTAAGAGTATTGTGAGGTTATGTTCTTGCCTTGGAAAAGCCTGTTGCAGCTGCCTTTTCTGCTCTCCCCGTAAGCCTTCAACACTTCTACTCTCCTTTTTCCCCAGCACACCTGCATGTGTAAAAGCTGAATTGTAAAGCATGCCAGTTTCAGCCATCAGAAAGTTGTCACGCATTTTTGTGACTAAATTACCTAGGCTAATTATTTTTTACACCAAGACAGAAATATTTTGTTCTGAAGAACAGACTTGTATGTTTAGTGTCAGTGTTAGAAATCAGAAAAATAATGAGGCAGAAGTTGCTGACTCTTCCTTCTTTTTCAAAAGCTTCCTTCTTTTCTTCAGCTAGCATTCACTTTTTATCCAGATGAAAAAAAAACCAAAACTTGTCTTCATTTATTGTTGGCAGCTCTGCACACCTGGAGGTTTGACTGGGAACATGGTCTGAAAAGAGATGCTTTGAATGGGTGTTACTCTGTGGGAAGCTAAATCTCCCATGGCTGTAAACTGCCATGCTCTCAGATTAAATTAAACAGTTTGTTGTAACTATTAATCACTTCAATTATTTCAATAATTCCAACTCCAAGGCAGCTTTGTATTTTTAGCTGGCTTAGTCATATCACATGGCCATGACTTTCAAGGCATTGTCCAAGGGAGAGAAACAACTTACTTGGAAAAGCTTAAATAGGCCAGGAGGTAGAAGTGTTTGCAGTGACAAGCCCTTCTGGTTGTTTTGCAGCCCCTGCTTGGCTGCCTTCTTGGAAGCAGCCTCCATACCTTGTACTAGAGTGTATGGAAATCTGATAAAGAACAGTAGAGGTGTAAAAGGCCCAGCTGGCTGGGTCTTTGCTTGTTCTTACATAAGCTAATCCCCAAAATGCCTCATCTTGAGAACAAAGAAAAATCTCATTGAACCCTGTGACTTAAATCCTTCCAAGAGCTGGGCATCCTTCCCAGCTCTCTCCATCCTAAAGTCTCTTACAAAAGGGATAAAGACCATGAATCCAGAGAGGGCTGGGAGATTATTGGTCCAACAGACACTCCCTAGTCTCTACCTGGATGACTTAGCCGTATGCCTTAGTATAAAGGTTAGAGAAAACCCCAGCCTTGCACTGCCTTGTGCTGTTAATGAAATGCTGGAAGACAATGGAAAGCAACTCAAAAGAGGGAACAAGAAAAAGTAAGATTAATTATTTGGCAATTAACACTTTAACCTAATTCATCCATCAGTTCCACTGTGTGCAAAGTGAGCTGTAATGATGCATCAGTCATTGGCCTGTAACTTGGTGCATAGTTGTGGGTTTTTTTCCAAATCTGTCTGAGTTCCCATGATTTGGAGGTTTTAGTTGTAAAGTTTCCAGCATGTTACAGAAATACTGAGAATTATACTTGAGCCAGTGGGAAAAGAATTAAAAGAATTTTTCAGGTAGTTCCTTAAAGCTAAAATTTCACAGAGATCATTATATATCTGGTACAGGCCAGATTTATAGTTTTGATAATCAGTGAGCAGCGCTTGATCTACAAAGGTGTTTTAGAAACAGATTGTTACAGGTTAACAAGCTGAGTTCAGAAACTGGTGTAGTCTCACAGAAACTGGTAGAGGTTATGTTGAAGCTAACAGATTCAGTGTACGTTGATGAAAAAGCTGTAAGAGGGCTGGGTATGTACATTAACTGTGTTGATAAAATATCTACAGTATGAGCTACAGTGTGTTTATCCAAACACTCACTTTGTGTGTTCTGGTGGCAAATTCAGCCATGCACAAAAATACTTCCAAGTGATATTTATGATCAGAGAACTGATTGTAGGGGAAGTCCAGGTGCCAGCTGCAGTGGGATTAGGCTGCCCTCCCAAAGAATGGTGGGGAAGCTGAGACCAATCTTGATTTAATCTTGATTTAATCATCCCAGGAATACACATAGGTCTGCTGTTTGATAGAGCAGATGGAAAGACAAAACTTCAAATTAACTATGAAAGTGAATACTGATTGTCCCTGTAAATATTTTCTGTTCTGAACTTATGATAAATAAGAAGCAGTGGGAATCAGAAAATTCTGTAATTCTAGACAGATACAGATTATGAGCTTTTAAAATAGAGGTATTCCTGTGATGCTCATTGAGCATCTGTTGGTTACAAAGTGCTTGGTTAGATTTTCACACGCCTTCTTTGTTCATCTCCATGCCACCACCCCTGCTGAAGGCTGATTTTTTTTCACTGTTTTTACAGTACTCCTCAGAGAATTTGCACTTACAAACTCTATTGTGAGTACCAGGGACAGAGAGATAACAAACTGCAGTGTTTTAAAAGCCAGATTTGGAAGGCTATCCAAGTGCTTCTAGCAATTGAAATTGAATATCTAGATACTTTTGGTAATCCCTCAAGGTGCTTAACTTTGTCTGTAGATGCTTCAATAAATTTGTTCCAAGTGGTTTGCCTAAGGTGCAGTTAGTCAATGAGAGAGAGTTGAAAAGGGAAACTTTCTCTTCCTGCTGTAGCCATTAATCATTTTTGCCTTCTTTATGACAAAGTGATGGGAAAATATAACTGTTTATAGAGTCTGATAGAACAGGGAAGAAATAGCAATGACTTATAGAAGAAAACTGAAGTTCAGCTTTTTCTGAGTAAGTTGACTTATCTTTTAAGCTCAGGCTTGTAGCTGTAATAATGGATGAAGGTAGCCTAACACTGTTCATAAAATCTCTGTGATCACCACATGTTTAATCAAAATTATTTGCTAAATCCTTTCTACAGTGTGGCTGAGGATCTATGAAGTATTAGGTGGCAGATCTTTGAGAGACTTTTATGTGTTCAATGCATGATTATAGTAAAAATCAGACATTTCTCTTTTCTGGTCATTCATAGTTCTTGTTGCAAATCTAAACTCTGGTTTGAGTATTTAATGTTTTCAAGTTTGCATTCATTTTTTTCTGATATCACCTCATTAACTTACAAACATAGGGTGAGTATGAATACCAGGTGAAATTATTTTCTATTTATTTACAAAAAATACTGATATAATCCCCACATGTAGCTTTTGTCAGCGTAATCTTTTTACCCAGTTTTTCATCATTACTGCATACTCTTAGCTTACTGTTTTTCTCATTAAATGCTTTTCTTTTTGTTAACCAGGATGCTGAGAAATTGGCTGGTCAAGAGCATGCCTGGAAAGAAGTCAAAGATGCTGTAAATGACGTGAGATATCCGAAATCAAAACAAGGTATCCTTTCAGTGACAGGCTATAGTATGTCATTCAGTTGTGAAAACAATCTGGAGAACTTCTTAGCATGCAGTTTATCTTTTGAGATTTATTTCCTGAAAGTTTACATTTTTGTCTTGTTTTAAAATGTATTTTTAATTCATTTATGTTTAAGCCATGTAATATTATTAATTGTATTATTAGTAATAGTCTCTGATTAATTGGATCAATGCTACTTAATGGCAAGGATAGTAAGTACCTAGCATGTAAAGTGATATTGTAGGTTAGGACTTCTGCCATCACAGCCCACCACTTCATATAAGTCCACTGCAAAAGGAAATAAAGCTTAATCTGAAATGATACATTCTTTGTCCCACTATACTCTGTGAATTTTTCCAGGTTCTCATTCTTTGCACAGCAATGACAATAGCAAGGACATAATCACAGATCACTGGAAACATTATAGAATAATTATTATAAATTATAAAATATAATAATTTATAATTAAGCAAATTGAATTAGATTATCTTGCACTAATACACAGAACTGGAGCCTAATGACCATTACATCGAGATTCAATCCAATTCAAAAAGCTAGTGAACAGCAAAAACCAAGAGAAGCTGAGCAATGGAGAGGTGGAGATTTTTACTAGAAGACTGAGAATATTGATCTCTCTCTCATCCTAGTCTATTCAGTGGAATTTCACTGACTCTGAATTTGACCTATTGTAGCAAGATGCCTTACTGTTTTCAAAAACATGGGCTTTCTCTCCAGCTAGAGGGAACTAAATCTTCAGTACTCCTTTTGAGCAGCATAAAAAACAAGTTTGCATAGTGATATTCCAGGCTGGAAACAAGTGATCACCATTTTTATTGTAACAAAAAAAGGAACCAACTGAGTTGTGGGTATTTTTTTTTCATTCTAATCCAGAGATGTTTGTTTTTAGCAAAAGGAAAACATTCATCTCATCCAACTTATCTTTGCGTAGTGTCTAATTCCTTTGTAGTCACTGGATTGAGACAGACAATACTGAACTAGACCTTCAGGCATTCATTTATACTTCAGAGCCTATGGTTTTAACCTGAAAGTTTAATTATTGATATGCAACGTGCATTTATTTATTTGCAATCATTTTTATACCAAAACTATGGAGCCAGAATGCTGGTCCTATTTAATGCTCCTGCATTTAATTGCACGAGAAATTGTACCTACTGAATTTTTCTAGGGTCTTTAATTAAGATTATTCATTTAACTGGTATTTAAAAAGGAGTCAAACCCATGTTAGTAAAAGGTATAAAGACTGGTTGAAAAATATGTCCATATTGTCTGGTCAGCTTCTGTTCTCAAACATGGGCTATTTGAAGTGTGTCATCTCTCCTCCTGCTGTGCCAGTGCCAATTGTCATGCAGTGACAAGTGCAGCATCTGAAGAAGGGGCTTGATCTTTGTCCACTTGCCAAAAATTAATAGAAAACCTTCTTTGCTGACTGAGGCACATAGCCATTAGTTTCTGAAAATGTAATTTTTTTAGCAAATTAGACCAAAAGTTCTTACAGTTGAGAAAGTTCATGACTTCCAAAACCTGAGCTACTGATTATAAGTGACACAGTGTAGTAATGCTAGATCTGCAGTTAGAGAACTTGAAACTCTATATGTGAGTGAACTGTCTCAGACCCAAATTCTAGTTTAAGCATATGAATTGAGATCCTAAAGCCCAGTGCAAGGGAATTATTGTGGAGAAAACAATTCCTCTGCATCTTAGGCCAAACAACAGTAGCAGAGGTGCTTGAGGGCTGTTCCTCTTGTCTTGGGCAGATACGAGACAGCCAGCTTCTCCTGTCCTGTTGGAGCTGATAGTGGGTTTTATAGTTTGCAATTTAAGTACCTGAAAATTTGGTTCCAACAGGTTTTGCAATATAGCATATCTGCTATTAGATGCTAGTGAGTGAACAAAGCAGTATAATGAGAAGTAAAAGCAGGCAGACTAATAATGTGCATCAGCTAAAATGGTAATCTTCCAAGAATGTCAGTGCTTTGTACTTTCTATAAAAATTGTATCAAGTGGAATTAATATCCCTCATTCTTCTGTTTGTCTGTCCTTAATCAATTGTAAATAATATATGGAAGTTTACCAGAGATATAAAGGTTAAGGTGCAATTTTATAATAACACATTCCTTCCCTTATATGGTTCTTTTGATCCAAGGACATGAGAGCAATTCACAAATAATTAGTTTAGCCTTGTAACAACCATGCTATAAATCCTGGCCCAGCCATATAGTGGTCACAGTCTTAAATATAAATATGTAAATATTCCCATGTTCAGAAAGGACCTATTACTTAATCACAGGGTTATCATTGTAAACTTAAATCCATTGCTGGGTTGAAGAGAATAGTATTTTCAGTAATATCATGAAGATAAACACTGAACTTCCTCAAGTTGATTGTATAAAAAGGACTGTGATACAATATTATTCCTTCTCTTACTAAGAATGCAAATCTATTTGGCTTTTATATATTTTTTCTAAGTGGTGTGTGTGGTACATTTTTGGTGTTTAGACTGCTTGCATTCTCCAACTCCCATAAAGTCCCAGAAGACAGTACTCATTTAAAATATGGGAGTGTTGTTATTCAGCTTGGGTCTTGACAGAGAGAGAAGAATGTGATCTACACAGAAGTGAAACCAAAGTAGAATGTAATGAAAATAAGCAATATCAAACTAAAGTGCATGCAAACCCCAGATACTTTTTCTCTCATCCAGGTACACACAAAAGTATTCTTGTAGCATTGGAGGTAAAAATCTTCTTTACTGCCAAGATCCTTAATCTTGAACTACAGTCAGACATCAGAACTCTGATGCTTTTCTCTCTCATGCATGAAACATGCAGCTGTACATGAACAGATTAATTACTTGCAAGAAAAGGTTCTAATTTCATGAGAATTCTAAGCCAAATATTGGGCAGCTTTGAAAACATTGTAACTATTTTAATATGTTAAAAAAAAGGTGTTTTGCTGCTTAGACAAGACACATTTTCATGGGTTCTTACCCCTGGGTGTATGATTTGAGGGAGTATCTTAAGTAAATAAAAATGTTTTCAAGTATATGAATTTTCATTTGTTATGTATTTAAAATATCCTTTCATTTTGTCATCTTTCTTTCACCCTTCATTGCTGAAATACTGCCTTCTTTAGAAATTGTTTTGCTAAATCTAAACAAAGCATAGTTACCTAAGCTACCACTTCTGAGTTCAAGTATGTTTTCAAGAGCTGAAGCAGAGTCTAGAGTGATGGCAGCTTTTTATCTTCATGTCCTGTAGCTCTTGTTCCTTGCTAGCAACATTTAGAACTTTTATTTTTGTCTGATTAAAGATATTTCTTTAACTAAGGCTAATAACAGAGTGGGAGCAGGTTCTGGCCAGATGCCAGAATCTCTTGAGCAGTAACAGGGATCGTCTTCCAGACACAAATATCTATCAGCTGAAAATGCTTGACTGTGCCATGGATGCCTGTATTAACCTTGAATTCTGGGAAGAAGCTTTGCATTATGGCAGCAGGACTCTGGAACCATACAGGTAAGAGATGTAATTGATTCAGCTCTTTCCAAAGGTGGGGGGAGAGGAAGCTGTGAAGTAAAGACTGTGGTTTGTTTAGATGCTTCTTACTGGTTTTATTTCTTCCTGTACATCTTGCCTTGAGGTTAATGGATGTAGCAGAACTCCTGTTCTGCTTTCACAGTCAGGCTGAGAGCAAATAAAATTATTATAGGAATTATAATAGTAACTGATTATGAGCTCCTCAGTTTTTCATGTGTTTAGATGCTGCCCCATCCCTGATCAGAAGCTTTTTGGTTCAGACTCTAGGATATCAGTGTTTTATGACAATCTAGCTTAAGACTGAGGAACAGATCACTGGCTGAAATACTGTATATTCTCTGTATACTCTGCACAGTGTTTACAGAAAGAATTAAAAAAAATAATCTTGCAAAATGTAGTTTCAATTGGAAATTAAAAAGCCTCTGGTCCTCATTTTGGGAAGGGGCCAAGGTGGTGAAGTACTTAGTCTCCACTGCTCAATACTTGCTGCTTGGCTAGGTGCTGGGAAAGTTTCTGAGTCTGATGCCCTTTTATTGATAAGGAAGGATGCTTGAGGAGATCCTACTATGTGGTAGGTCCTGAAATTGATTGGAACCTGAAGCTATAATGTGACTTTGGTCATCTAGTGGAGAAAGGGCAAGTGCTGCCTGCTTTAGTTTGTGTTCTAAAAACTCTTAAGACTCAAATATTTGGGTTCTGGATATTAACGTTTGTAACTAAAAGAAAACTTGCGCTGAATGTCCAGATATCGTGTCCTTCACGCATGAATTCTTGGTAAGGTATTTCTTAGAATATCAGTTTCCTCTCTGTTGGTTCTTCTACACCATGTGATGTTCCAGTACACAGTGTGATGCTGAGTAGTGTGGGGGATATGCCAGTGCTGAACAGTATGTGCTGCTGTGAATGTGAACATCTCAGATTTGACGTCTTCCCTAATCAAACCAGGATGCCATCAGCATTCAGGATCTTGCCTGAGGAAATGTCATCTGGCAGCCTGTTTCTGAATAAAACTCTGGGCTTTACTTGAGAAACAGCACAGCATTTCAGAGCTTTCAGTATAAAGTAATTAGTGAGGAATCTGCACAGGCTGTGGTCGACCAGAGCTGTAGAGAAGTTCAGTGTTCATAATGACTGGTACTTATAGAGGAGCGCATGAGTGCCTTCAAATTCTCGCATTTCTGTGAAAAATTCACATCATGCATGTCCAACTTAACCTTTCAAAGCGGGCTTATGTAGTACTGCAGCAGTACATGCTTCCTCCCGGCCTTCTATTGTGTGGCAAGCTCCAGATGAACAGAGTAGTCTGCCTGTTTAAATGTTCCCTTATTAAATAATAAAAAAAAGAATCTCATTTGCTTTTTATATTACAACTTGTTAACTGAGTTCTTCACAACTGAAAAAAAGGATTTTTCTACACCTATTTCCAAGAGCAGAGATTGCAATGAGACCAAGAGCATTTTTGCCAGATAATCTAAAAGGCTTTCTCTATTTTGCTTACTGAAATGTACTGTAGTTTTCAAACCATTTAACACAGGAGTTCGGGGATGAAGGAAGGAGTTTGACTGTGCCTTCAATTAGTATGTCTTAAGGAATACTATTTCAATGAGATAATTGACCTTTTTGCACCTTTGAAGAGCTTGTTCTTGATCTTTCCTCATCCAAAAGCATATTTTGGAGAGACTTTCAGGTGCTTTTTTATTTACACCTTCAAGTCATCACTACAAGCTTTGACACACCTGAAACAAAATCCTCAGTTTCTCCTTGCAACAAATTGTGCTCTAAGCAGCAGGAGACCAAATCCTAGGAAATCTTTTGGGATGCATTGAATTTCTCCTGTTGAATCAATCTACTGCTTGGCTGCTCCTGCAGTTCCATTATAGCTATCTATTTTCCTTTCCTCAGCTCTGGAAAAAGTATTCATACAGCTCTCCACAGGGAATCACCTAAGAATTTGAGCAGTCCATGTAAATAGGAAATAATTGTTACAACTTTAAAAGCTCTGGAGATTTGGTGAAAACCAATTTTAATTTCAGGTAATGTGTTTACTGTGTATTTTGCATTTCTTTAGCAGTAGGATTAATTTTCAGTGCTGTGTGACACATGGTATCATGATGTAAGTTTTCATTATGATGGTTGCTGACTTTTCCAGAATCATGCACTTAATGTAACTGGCAGAGACAGACAGTTAAACTACATAAAACTGATTAGTCATACTGAATACCAACTTTTATGCTTTAGGTTGTGACAGTAATCTGTGAGGAACATTGTTTAGGACCTTTCAAATATTTTTAGAACTCCCAAAGATGGTGACTGCCAGGATGAAAAGCTGCCTTTTTTTTTTTTTTTTTGTGCT